CGTCAAATGATGTAGTGGAGCAGCTATAGTTGCAAAGTACTTCACAAACTTCCGGTAATAGGTACAGAGTCCCAAGAAACTTCTTAACTCTTGCACATTGTCTGGTGTTGGCCAATCAAGTACTGCTTTCACCTTGTCAGGATCAGTTCACACATAATGCTCACTTACAATGTGACCCAAGTAAAGCATCTCTTTCTGGAACAAGTGGCATTTATTGGAATGGAATTTGAGGTTTGCTGCTTTCAAACACTTGAATACTTCCTCTAGCCAAGACATTTCCTCATCAAACGTTGCTGCAAACACAATGACATCATCCAGGTACACTAGGGTTATCCTCCAATGTAGGCTTTCTCAGTACTCTTTCCATCAGCCTATCAAATGTTGCTGGAGCATTGCTAAACCTGAATGGCGCGCTTGACTGAATTATTTGTCTCTATAGCTCTCTGTCTGCAGTTATTCTCTATCTATCTATCTTTGCCGCCACTTCTCGCCGGTCATATATATACAAAATAGAGGGCGTATCTAGCAAACGCTAGAACGTTCGACAGATTCCTCGATCTTTCTAGAACTCCAGCGCATGCTCTCAGCGTCCGCGACTTCCACCGTCGTAACACTACGAAAGACGAAATACATTTAACTAAAAAAACTGGAATATATGAAATAGAATGTGAATGTGGAAGTACTTACATTGGTCAGAGAAAACGTAATTTAAAATACTGTTTAAATGAGCATAAGGGATATGTAAAACAACAAACAAAAAAAAACTGAAAATTCATCCATAGCAAAACATGTACGGGAAACACAACACACAATATTATGGGGAAAAAATGTAAAATTAGCTCAACCAAAAAGTATAATAGGTAATACTAATATTCGTGAATCGTTAGAAATAATAAAACATAAAAAAATATCACGTAGTATTAAGTAGGGGGTAAAGGTTTGCGAATATTTCGGCAAGAATGTGGATTGATCCCCTTTGAATGGTTTACCATGAGTGTATGAAAAATAACATACTGGTCAATGACTTACTAACAAGTTATAAATACTTCGGCAATTGTCTTGTAATTCATTCCTGACGATGAGGTTGTAACGTCGAAACATGTGAAGTCTTGGACTTTTTGAAGGCTACAGATAGGCCTAGATAAAATGTTTTTAATAGTGTACGAGTTTAACGTTGAATATTATTTATGATTTTAACTTTATACAGAAGTGCCGAAATAGTATAATTATGTTAAGATTAGTTAATACAAGTTGTTTTAAATATGGGAGTGGTAGGTTCTAACTTAAAAACAACAACAAGTAATCTTACTTGAAAACTGAAAGCACAGGCAGTAGTATTTATGTTTTGAGCATTTGAGCTAGAACTAAGTACATTACTATGGAAATTGTATTTATATTTTGAAATAATAATCTTTGTATATGTGTAATATTATTTGTTCTGTGAGTTACCATCTCGGTATTTATGTTGTTGTAGGTAAAAGTAAAGATGCTGAAATTGAATCAAAAATAAACAAGGAATGGCAAATATTCGTTCAAAATTCAGAGGTAAAGGCCATTTTTTATTATGTTTTATATTAACGTGAATATCTTTTATATGGAAATTATTCATCCGAAGTCCAGGTGTAAATACCATCATTGGCCATTGAAGCTTTTCAAAAGATTGTATGTATAACTATGTTTGATGTTCAGGTGACAGGACCCTTGATGGATACCAGAAGAAGTATGATTGCAAATTGCTATTTATTTTCATTCTTGGTCATGATATTGACTTTGGTCACATGGAAGCTGTCAATTTTCTAAGCTCCAATAAGTATTTCTAAAATCAGATACTAAAAGTTGAATGTATACAAGTATTTTGAGAAGCAGATAGTAACTGTTGAATGTATACAAGTATTTTGAGAAGCAGATAGTAACTGTTGAATGTCTACAAGTATTTTGAGAAGCAGATAGTAACTGTTGAATGTCTACAAGTATTTTGAGAAGCAGATAGTAACTGTTGAATGTCTACAAGTATTTTGAGAAGCAGATAGTAACTGTTGAATGTCTACAAGTATTTTGAGAAGCAGATAGTAACTGTCGAATGTCTCTTTACATCTTTGTGATTGATGTTTATGTGCCAACAATTTCTGTTATTAGTATTAACTTCCAATCGGAGTAAAACTAAAATTGAAGCTGGTATTAGTAATGACTATAGCTAATTAAATATACTTTCTAACATTCTTTCATCAGTTGAATATTCTCAATGTTAACTGTATTTTCAGATGTAGTTCAAGTAATATCTCCCAAAATTTGGCCAGCAAAGAAGATATAGGTTAGCCCTAAATACATACATTAAGCTAACAATTCAAAACAATCTTTAATAAAAGCTAAATAATAAAAAATAAAATTTAAAGTTGTAATAAAATTAGTTATAT